AACTGGTTTGGCTTTCATCCGTCAGATACACAACAAAGCACTATTTTTGGTAGAGCATGCTAGCGGGCCGTCGTTATTACCGTGTTTTTTGGAAAATACGGCACACTTAATCAATCCTTTGATTTTTCTGAAAATCGACAGTGCCTCTTATAATCCCGTGTGCCTTATGTATGAATTCTGGTTGTGTTTACTGACCTCGAAATGATTTTATGTCGTACACGGCGCTGGAGAATCTGTCAAATGTTTCAGTATGACTTTGCTAAGCTACGAAGCTGCACCGCTTGATGGATTGTCAGAGCTTTACGGCTACCGTAGGCAGGAGCCTCGCGGAGTGATACGTACTGTGCTTCAACATAATATTACCGTATTGTGTGTGTATAAGCTCTTTTTAAGTTTTGTAGATATTATACATGGTTATGCTGAGGATATGTCGGCCAATTTCCACTGGAAATGCCTTTTGGTTAAACTGTCAGCAGGGAATTGCATTTGCACTGCAAATTTTTTATATAACTTTAATGCACTTAAAAAGCTGCTTGTGTAAGTGCAAAATACATTGATGTTTTTGGTTTTTTTTGCACTAATAAAGTTGAGGAGTTGTAAAGTATTTTGTCTAGTGTCAATTATATCGTCAGTTATATCGTTATCGCAAATTTTCTAATGTATATCGTGATAGATATTTTTGGTCATATCGCCCTGCTCTACTACAGAATACCAGGTTCCATTCCTATGAGCAAAGAACAGGAAACTGAGGCTACAATTCACACGAGCTCAGGAAACAGAAGATTGGACAAACACTGCCTGGCCTGATGAAACTTCAGACGGTGGGTCAGGCAGTTCAGGCTGCTGCTGGTGGTGTAATTGTTTTCTTGGTACACTTTGTTTAACACCACAGCCTACCTGAATATTGTTGCTTACTATGTCCATCCCCTTATAACTCATGGTATCTAGTTTACATTATAAAAGCCAACTGCAGCGACTAAAGTCATTTTGTACCATATAAATAAAATTGAATTGAATTGAATAGAAAACGAGTTCGGTGCACTCAAAAGGACTTAACAGTAACTAGATGTCAATCCAACAGAGGAACATTGGGATGTGGTGGAATGGGAGATTCACATCATGGATGTGCAGTCGGCAAATATGCAGCAACTGCTCGATGATGTAATGTCAACATGCTGCTGAATCTGTGCCATGAATAATTAATGCAGTTCTGAAAGCAAAGAGGGTCCAACCTGTTACTAGTAAGGTGTAACTTTAAAAATGTGGCAGAGTGAGTGTATATGGAAAAAAATTAATTATAGTATTTTTGGCGCCTACATCATATTTTGTCTTATTTTAAGGCCTTTAAGAGTGACACAGATCGGTCGATGTAATTTAAAGTGTAAACATCGTGATTGTCAGTGAATGGTTTAATTTTCTCTTTCCTGCAATTTCATGTGCAGACGCATGATTCAAAATTCAATTACTCAATAACAGATTGTAGAATAAATTACTGCATGAGTCAATGAAGGCACAATACATTACTATGAAATTGTGAGGTAATTCAGGAAAATGGTTCAAATGTGACTCATAGTTTTTCCTGCTTTAACAATAAAATAGTTGCATGGGTTATTATTGTGCCATTCCAGCAGTGTTTATTTTCCTATGTTAGCTTAAATTTTTTCATAAAAATGACTTTGCCCAAACATTTAATGAATCCACTTTTATAACAAAGCCTGGGAGTTTGATTTCCTGTTGCACTGGTCTAAATCGAGGAGGAGATAAATGGCGTGAGTGGGTTCCCTGCTGGGTTTTTGTTACGAAAGCGGTACAAAATAAGCAAATCAGTGTGAACATGGCATTTCAACCTGCAACAGCAAGAGCAGTCTGCTAATGTGACAAGAAAAAGGATGGAAATATATTTTCTGATAAGAAACAGAAGTGCTTTGATGACCATTTATAACACGAGGATTACATTTACAAAACCACAGAAATGTCCTGAGGTGAAGTTTAAAAGGTTTGGTCAGCTATGGAGACAAAATAAAACCTTCTTCAGTTGACTTATCGGAACTATAGTTATGATTTGGATTGATTGGCATTGTGTGATTTTTCACTTACTATTGCTACTTTTACTACTATTACTACTACTAATATTTTATTTTTAATAGGCAATTTGTGTCTCCATACAGAATATATGTGACTATTTTTTAAAACTTGAAATCCCACTGAGCTTCTTCTTTTGATATAAATTTGATCACATAGAGTAATGTTCAGGTTAGATCTCTATTTATCACATTAAAAGCATTATTGTTATGGACGCTCATCATCAAGAGTCAGGTGCATAAACTTCATAAACAAGAAAACGTGGAAGTTATGGTTTGATGACCCAAAAGCCTGAAAGTCAAAATCATGAAATCAGTTCATATAAATTATACATAAGGGCAAAACTTTTACGATAAGGCATTTCCACTAATGCAGAATTGGTTCTGTTCTGGTTCAAAATCTAAATTTGAACTCTTCCACTTACGTAATAATTAAGGATTTAAGGAAGAGATTCATTTGCGAGCTTTAAGGATTCTAGCCAATCAACTTTTGTTTACCCCATTGGCAGATGTTGTTCTCAAAACAAGAAAGTTTTGTCAGTTTTCAGAGTATCTGGCTTATTTCAAGTAGAGCTCTTTTGCAGTGTACCCTGTAACTGGTAAATAAAGCTCAAGATGAGCTGAAATATCTTATTATGAAAAAGTTATTTTCCTAGAATGAGCTTAATTTTCTTGTTAAGAATATGTTTTGTTTTTAGACAAAAAAGAGAAAACACGTCCATAAACAAGGTTTTTTTTACTTTCTTGAAAATCATTTTTGCAGTGTAGGGTTAATGACACTCTTCTTCATGCTG